CTTCAGAATCTAGAATATTGCAAGTACTAAAAACTATACACATGCTAGATTCTAAGAAAGGGTTTCAACTATGTTCCACCTGCCTTCACTAATGTGTAAAGGGGAAATGGAGACCTCAGCTGCCAGCGCTTAAAATTATAATATGTCAACATGAAAAACACTCACAGTAAGGTCTCCATCTGCATGTACCTGCCAAATTTGTTATTTACCGCATTTCTGTCCCAATAATTGTGTCTCTAGCTCCCTTTAAAAGTGAGGTGATTGTTTAATTAAGGGATAATTGTTTCCCAGTGTGAATTATCCATGCATGATATAATTTTTACCAATTATGATGTACTTAACCCATATGCACAGCGACTAAATGGTGATTGGGTTAAATGGAAACATTGGTTTGATTAGGTGATGGGATCATAGATAAATTCTGCCCTACGTTTCTTGCTAATTTTCTGTAATAAGTTAAAATACATACATAGTTCTTAAAGATCTCATGCCTGGAAAAAATATTCATGGATTTATCATCTTTATACATTATATTTTAAGAAACATTTTTTTTTTGCTATGATGATAGTGAAATAATAAATATCAAACAATAATGGAACTTTTATATTTGCCATCTCATTTCATCAGTGCAAAATTAAGAGCCGCAATGGGAACCACCATCTGGGAGGTGTTTTAGACAGCACCATTTAAATTCCTTCTGGAATTTGACGTGCACAAGTTATAAGAAAAGATCTGGAGAGAACACTCCATTTAAAAGGAAACAGAGCATCTCGGTTTGCTCAGAAATAGCAGTCCTTTAGGAGACGTATGGCTTTCTCAGTGGGGGAGGGTGACACTTAAATCCATCCTGCGAAATGCACTCATAATTTCATGTAACCTCAGCACTCCATGCGCCACCCCCCCAACTCCCACTTTCAGGTTGCCCTTGATCATCGCCAGTTTTCTCCTTAAAACTGTTCACCAAAACCACTAGATGCCCAAGGAAATTATTCATCATACTTTAAAATAAACAACCTTGAAGTGACAACATGTGCCCACATGTACCTACCTCTGCAAGCCATCCCCTCTAAGGCCTAACTTAGGATGTGTGTGGAGCAATAGATGCCTTCCAGAATTGCCCTTGAAGATCCTAAGGTGTCCTAATTAGGCAAAACCTTTTGGGCCCTCCAGCAGGTGCGTCCTCAGTAGCACTTGTTCAGCCCTCAGCTCTAGTATCACTTAGAGTTAGCTGTTGACATGTCTGCTTCCCTCCCCAGATCGCTAGCTCTCTGAGGGCAGGGACTATGCATTCCTATCCTTGTAACCCGGCATCCAGCCCTGGACTGAGAAGTCAGTAGGCTTAAATATTTGTTGTATGAGGAGTTGATTGGAAAAGCATAGATTTGGAAGCAAGCATGTATGAAATCCAGTCCTGGCTTTATCTACTATGTGGTTTGGGGTGAGTTTCTTAACCTTTCTGAGCCCTGGTTTCCTAAAAACAGGTTACAGTAGCCAATTGACAAGGAGTTAGGAGGTTGATCATGGGAAATGTAGGAAGAGCATATTGTAGATTCTGTGTACTCTGGTTCTTACTCCACAGGTGTAACGGAGCTTCGCTGTGCGTCAGCAATGCACCTGAGACCTGAGCTAGGTGCAGAAGAGCTGAAAAGAGGAAGGCTGTCAGGCCTAAACTTAGGGTGGATCAGTCACTAAATGGTTTCATGCCCCTCATTTCTTCTGCATGGGTCTCCTTACCCTAAATATAAGAAAGTGCCTAGTTTTCCATCGCTCCTCTTCTTCATGCCGTACTATCAGCAGGACCGTAGTCTTTGTTCTCTACCGCATTGCTAATACTCAAGAATATTTCACAATTATGGAAGTGATGATGTCATATCCCAGTGGAATAAGAATCAGGAAAGCCTCTCATCCTAAAAGTACAACGTAGCATGCTTTGTTATTACAATTAGATAACTATTCTTTATGAGAAAAAGCAGTTAATTGGAGTCAGCCACAGGGAGAGTGGATTCAGATGTTTTCTGGGGCACTTAAAAGTATATCTGATGGGACTCTGCTCACTGCCAGAAGTGAGCTGATTAGGAAACTTAAAAGATTTGTTAGAACAATGAACTCCTTTCTAAACATTCTTCAAACCTACCTTAAGCAAGAGAGGAAAAGAAAATGGTGCCTTAAAAGAACTGCCCAGTGTCAGCTGTTGATGGCCTGTGTTAATAGGATGATGGAAAAGTCCCAGCATGTGGGTAATTTTTCAAAAATCCATTTAGCTTAAAAAAAAAAAATTAGCTTTGACTTTAAAGTACATAGGTAATGTGTTGCAATATTAGGGTGAAAGTAGTTTTTCCCCATGTATATTACCTGTTAAATGTTAGGTAGGGGTGTGTGTGTGTGTGTAGTAAGCACACATATATATGAATGCATATGTACATGTGGACATGCGTGTTTACAGATTGACATTCTCTAAGCTCAAAAGGGAAAACACTAGTAACTAGTAAGCTTTGCTTTTCAATTAAAACATTGTGTTGATAAGTCATTGTTGAAGTGTGCCATTGATTGAAGGCTCTCTTGAAGACAGAGGTTTGGTTTTTTAATCAAATAATTTAAGTTCCTACTATGAGCAAAACATTATGCTGGGGATGAGGCAGAGGCACAGCTTGTCCCTTGACTTTTAGGTGTTTGAAGGTTTTCAGGAATCCTCAAAGTCTGGGCAATTTCATTTCCTTCAAAAGTAACATGAATCCGGGGCGCCTGGGTGGCTCAGTGGGTTAAGCCTCTGCCTTCGGCTCAGGTCATGATCCCAGGGTTCTGGGATCGAGCCCCGCATCGGGCTCTCTGCTCAGCGGGGAGACTGCTTCCTCCTCTCTCTCTGCCTGCCTCTCTGCCTACTTTGTGATCTCTGTCTGTCAAATAAATAAATAAAATCTTAAAAAAAAAAAAAGTAACATGAATCCTTTCCACTTTCACTAGCATGTTGAACCTCCTACCTATGCTTAGTTCTAGGCCCAATTTTCTTCTCACCCTCTCCCAAGACTTCAGTTGCTATCTAAAAATTCTATCTCCTAAATGTGTACCTCCAGCCCACTCATCTGTTTTGAGCACCAGACTCAGTCCCACATTAAATCTCTGCTTGGATGTAGATGGTACCCAAAATTCAGTGTGTTCAACTAAACCTGGAAGTGCCATCTAAGTGAAGTTACCACCATCCATCCAGTTCCATGACACTTCCATCTCCTTCATTCTCTATATCTAGTCCACCACTAAGTCATGCTGATTTTCTTGGATAAAAATCTTTTAAATCCACGCACTTCCTCTCCTTGTCCATAGCCACCACTCTAGTCTGGATCACCATGATCTCTTGCGTGGATGACTGCAGCAGACCACCTCTCACTGGCGCCCCTCCTTCCCCTTTGGCTCATCTCTAATTCTCTTTTTCAAAATGCAAATCTGATCAGGTCACCCCCTTTACATAAGGCCATTTAGCAAGTTTTATTGCTCATAGACAAAAATCCAGAATCCTCAATGTGGCCTCCAACACCTGCATGGCTCCCTTGACTGTATGTATATATTCCTGCCGAAGATTCTGGAATAATCTTCACCTGATTTCATTCTGTTAACTTCTGCCTTCTTTCTAGACCTTACCCCAAGTGAAACTTGCATGGGAATGCATCTGCTGGCTCCTTGAACTGCCATAGTACGGTATACCTGTCCTTTATAGCACTTACCACAATGTGCAGCTGTGCATTTAGTTGTATGATTACTGATTATCATCTCTCCCCACAGGACTGTAGGTCTACAAGAGAGCAGACCATGTCTGTTCACTCTTTAGTGTATTCCTAACAGGAGAGCTGGCAGGAGCTTTGTTCTGAAGGATTTCCCAAGCCAAGTTAAGCTATTTGGAATTCATCTTTAAGGCAATAGAAGGTTTGGTGGATTTTAAGCAGGGGAGCAATGTGATTAGATGTACACTGTGGAAGAATCACTTTGGATGAGGTATAGTAAATCCAGACAAATACTCCTGAAAGAGAAGTGAGGCAAAGTCACAGTAATGGTGGATCCTTGCCATTCTTTCTCTATTCTACTTTTCCTATCCCTCCTTTCTAAATCCAGTGAGAAAAATTACCCATAGAACCTCTCAGATGCTTGGTCATCATAAAGTCATGTGACTGCTGGTTGAGTTCCGAAGTATATGCTTGACACTAGGAATAATAAGATGATTCAGGCCCAGTTGTGTATTCCCAGCCCACATCTCCCACTCTGATGGAAGAGACTGCTCAATAAGAAGAGAGTATGATCCAGCGTGGAAAGTGTTGCAATGGGAGTTTGAATGGAGTTCTCGAATGCAGAGAAGGTTATAACTAAAACAGTTCCCTGGTGGGGCCAGAAAATGCCTCACAGAGGAGGTGGCATGGGAACTAGGATGAACTAGATAGGAATGGTGGATTGTATCAAGTAGACACAAATGAGGGAGCATTGTAAGTGTCTGGAATAGCACATGCAAAGGCCCAGAACTATGAAAGGGCACAGCATACTGGAGAATGGCTTTAGCTCTGTGATTTCACAGCTGCAGAGAGGATATGTGGGGATGGGGATGGGGAAGGTGGTAGGAGAAGGGAAAAGACAGGTGCATGGGGGCCGTATTGTACAGGGCCTGGTGTTCTTAATTCAGGAGTATGAGTATCATCCTGTGAGTTGCCAGAAATCATGGAACCACTCCTAATATCTCTGGATTAAAAACCAATTCAGGAGGAAGCACTTCATATGAAGGGCCTAATGGTTTATGAGGAAAACAATGACTGAGCCAATAAGAGCGACAATGTCCTGAGCCCAAGAAACACAAGAATGATTATGGTCCTGAGAGGAAAAGTGGAATCTGGGCCTCTGAGGGAAGAGAGGGCCACGGATCTAGCAAGCTGGCCAGGGCCTGCCCCTAGGAGACTGAGTAGTAAGCCGGGCCACACACTCTTGCATGCTCCACTGCTCCAAGATTCTGGGTTTGTGTTTTGCAGTTCCATGGAGAATGGGAGGCCGCCAGATCCTGCAGACTGGGCCGTGATGGATGTCGTCAACTATTTCCGAACAGCAGGATTTGAGGAGCAAGCTAGTGCTTTTCAGGAGCAGGTAAGTCGGTCCAGAGAAACCCACAATGAACACAGTTACCCCTTCCTCCTGGCAGACAGAGGGAGCAAGGAGGAAGAGGACCAGAGAGCAGTGAGGGATCTATGAGGTTCTGCATGTCCTCTGCATAAACACCCATCATGCTGGACCGCTGAGGAGGGTGGGAAAGGGGAGAAGGAAAGTGACAAGCAAATGATTCCTTCCTGAGAGAGGGGAACCCAATCCCTGGGACACAGTCTCAGCTGCAGGAAGGAGGGCTAACACTCATTTACATCTGCATCTGCTGAAAGATGGGATGGCTCTACCTTCACCACAGACACACTGGAAAGCAGAAAGTGAGAGGAAAGGGAAATGAGGAGCAGATCTGACTAGAGACATACAGCACTGTCCGTTACTGGTCCCAGCACCAACCGAGCTAGGAAACCCCCTCCAATTTGTGTTCCAGGTACTTAACAAGGTAGAGTGGAAAGAGTACAGATTTAGAGTCAAATCCTGTTTCTTCTAACTCTGTGTGACCCTGGGCGAGTTCCTATCTCTCTCTGAGTCTTGCTTCACATCAATGCCCAACTTGATAGGTGGTAGTGTGAGGATTAAGGGACCTTGTCCACACAGTGCCTAGGGTAGGTCCTGGTACAGTGTTGATGTCCCCAAAGTGCTAGTTCCCTTCCCTCGGATCCAGGGTTCATATTGGAAGGAGGGAGTAGGGGGTCCCTCTCCATTATCTGGGTGTTTCCTGACTCCCATTTTTTAGGCTGGGCCAGCTCTCTAAACATAGTGCCCAAAGGGGCTTTGACCATGAGGAAGCAAATTGAGGGGACATGTTGTGGTCCACACCAGACCAGCTCTGTAGGGAAACAGAGATCCTATCTCCCTATCAGTGAAGGCTGTAGTTTTCTAAGCATTACGTTTACTTCTCCAGTTTTGTAATATAATCGATAGAATTATAAATTGAAGAATGTGTCTGGCTGCTTCTTCCATATCCATTTAGCTCTCTTATTCTCTTAAGCTGGGTTTGGCTAGTGAAACTTTATATATAATATATATATATATATATATATATATATATATATATATATATATCTCAATCTCTAAATCTCCTTCAATATTTTCTTCAAACCTGATCTCTCTCTCTCATTCTCTCTCTCTCTATATATATATACACACACACACACACACATATATAGTTGTTGCTATTGGTAATTTGGAAAATTTGCTGAAATAGCAGCTTAAATCATTTCACACTCACAAGAATAGCTAAAATTAGAAAGATTTATAAATTTAAACTTTCAAGAGGAGGTAGAACAAACACATTTTCCTTTATTGTTGGTGGGATGTAAAATACTCATACATCTACCCCATGATCCAGCAGTTTAAATCCTGAGTATTTACCCAAGGGAAATGAAAACATATGTCCACAGAAGATTTATCCAAAATTATTCTTAGTGGCTTTATTCATAATAGTCCAAAACTGGAAGCCTAAGTGTTCATCACTGGGAGAATGTGGTAGAGTCACACAATGGAATACCACTCGTAATCCAAAGGAACAAACTAGTAATATGTAAAGCAGTTTGGATGAGTCTCAAAGTATCATACTGAGTAAGAGAACCCTAACAGAGGAGTTCACATTGAACGGTTCCTTCCTATCTTAGCCCATTTGGGCTGCTATAATGAAAATACTATAAACTGGGTGGCTTATAAGCAATAAACATTTATTTCTTACAGTTCCAGAGGCTGGGGATTCCAAGACTAAAGAAACTGTAGACTGGGTGTCTGGTGAGGGCCTGCATCCTAGACAGCTGTCTTTTTGCTGTGTCCTCACATGGAGGAAGGGACGAGTGAGCTCTCTGGGGCTCCTTTTGGAAGGGCACTAATCCGTATAATCACCTCCCAAGGCTCCTACCTTCTAACACCATAATCAATTATCTCTAATACTCCCTGGAGATTACATTTCAACATATGAATTTTGGGGAGACATAAACATTCAGACCATAGCAATTTTATCTAGATGAAAGTTGAGAACAGGAAAGCACGTCATTGGTAGCAAGAATTAAACAGTGGTTGCCTCTGGAAAGGTGGGAGTGGAGAATGGCTGGAAAGCGGCATGAAGGAACATTCTGGGTCCCAGTGAGGGTCTGGGCTACAGGCATCTGCTTCAGTAGAGCACTGCAGATGCGCAGACATGTACAGATGTTACAGATCTATGGGCTACATAGCCTTTACATTTTACCTCAAAAGAAAAGGAACTATAAAAATCATGAAGCAATTAGTTGTAGGCAAACTAAAGTGTTTAGGGGAATACACTGATTTATACAACTTACTTTGAAATGCATCAAAATATGGGTTGACAGTTGGATAGAAGAATGAGTAGAGGGATTAACATATGATAAAGCAAGTATAGAAAATGTTAACTGTAGAGTCTAGGTGGTGGTCATACGGGTGTTCACTGTATGTTCTTACAACTTCATGTTTGAAATTGTTTTTAATAATATTTTATTTATTCACTTAACAGAGAGAGACCGAGATCACAGGTAGGCAGAGAGGCAGGCAGAGAAGGAGGGGGAAGCATGCTCTCTGCTGAGCAGAGAGCCCGATGCGGGGCTCGATCCCAGGACCCTGAGATCGTGACCCGAGCTGAAGGCAGAGGCTTAACCCACTGAGCCACCCAGGTGCCCCTGAAAATTTTTATAATTAAATCATGGGGGGAAGAAGCTCAGGTTGAAAGGTGAAGGCCTATCAGCTGGAACAAATTTTATTGTAGTTTTTAGTGGAGTAATATCCATTTGTGTCATTATAGTTGAATAGCTCTCTTCTGAAATTAAATTTAAATAATATTGTAAAAGGTTAACAAAAAAAAAAAAAAAAAAAAAAAAAAGGACTTCGCTAAAAGGTCTCTTGGCCCAATTCCCAGCTGTCCAAAAGCATTTTTAAGATTGGGCTTTTATTCAGACTCCTCTGAGGCAGTTGTCCCAGACTGGGTGGGGGGTGTCCTTTGGGCCTTCCAGATTCTGTGCAGGACCTCAGAATGGAGCTGGCCAGCTCTGAGCTTGGCCCAGAAATGGACCCTTTCTCCCAGGAATGACATCATTCTGGCATCAGCAATACTGGGAAGCAAAAGAGAACAAACTCTCCCAAAGGTCTTCATTCAGAAGTCTTTCAAGTGGGGAAAGGGCATCATCTTGCTACTGTGCTGAGCCCAACTCAGGAGCCTGAGAAATGAATTCCCAGGGCACTGGAGTTTTGCAAGCATGGTCTAGAAGCTCAAGCTCCTTCATTCTCATGGAAGGGCAATTGGGTAGAGGAAAGAGTCTGCCTTGAATTATTCCCTGGAAGTGATCCAATCTTCCTCCTGCAGTGTAATTCTCATCCTCTTTTCCTCTTCTCTTTAAAGGAGGTAGAAGGAGGGCAAGGAGGGAACCACTAGTCAGGCTCAGCCTGATAAGACAATTAGCTGCTGTGATTTCCATGAGGACTGAGAATCAGGATCCTTTACCAGGTTACCCTGCCTCTTCCGTCATCATGCCTCAGAAAGCTTTATGTTTCACCTTCAAGGATCTTCCTGTTAGTGAACCTCAAGCTCACCCTAGATGGGAAGACCACCACCCCCAGCCCAAACACATGACCCTTCCAGGCACATCTTCTAGGTCATGACAACTGAGAAGCTATAAGAAGGACCACATGCTGAAATCTCCTCAAGAAAAACTTTGCCCTGCCATTGGACAGAAACAGGACCCGGCTGGAAAGTACCCTTACACCACCTTGGAAAAGGGCAGGTCCAGAAAATATAGTACAGTTGCCAGTGATATGGGGAGCTTAGTTTCATGGCTGACTGTTGTACACTGAATGTTTTTGCCCCCTCCCCCAATTTCCCAAATTCGTTTGTAGAAACCCTAACTCCCAACATGATGATATTATATGGTGGGCTTTTGGAGATAGTCAGATTTAGATAAGGTCGTGAGTGCGGAGCCCTCATGATGGGAGTAGTTCCCTGAGGAGAAGAGACCAGAGAGCTGTCTCTGTCTTTCCCTGCCATGTGAGGATGCAGCAAGAGGATAGCCACCCATCAGCCAGGAAGAGGGCCTCACCAAGAACCTGACCATGCCAGCACTGTGAGCTTAGACTTTCAGCCTCCAGAACTGTGATCAGAACTTAGAGCTGACTTAAATAGTGATGTTGATGCTGGACATGTCCACTCTCGGCTGGGCTGAGTTTCAGGAGAATATCTGACTTTATGGTGTGGTCTCACAGTATGATACTGGATGTTCTGTTGCTGTAGCAACCAAACACATATGTGGCTTTCTAGTAGCATACCTCCCTGGAAGATATCAGGCCACTGAGTGAGGTTAATCCAAAGGGTAAAAATGGCACCCCATGTTTCTATGGCATGAAACATCTGGTGAAGCTGGTGATCTTTGCATGACCTCCTTTCTTTGAGCAGGGACACTGCCACATGACAATGATTTCCATTAAGTTTCCTTCTGGTGTAATGATCTCTATCAAGTTTTCTTCCGGAAAACCTCTTTTGAGCCTGCAGTGCAAGCCACAACTATAAGCCAAAAGAACTGTCAAAAGGGAAGTTCTAAGCCCCTGCTTACCCCCACCATGACCCAATGTCAGCAGTATGTGCATTTCAAGTTGTTTTACTGTTCTGGCCAGTCCCCTTTAAGACCAGTGATATCCCTCTTCCTTCACTCATTGACCTCATAGTGCTCCAGAGGGTTCACTGGCCAGTAAGAGCAGGAGGCAGTGGAAGTCCTTCCTAGAGGAGGCAATAATGACGACTCTGTCAGTACTCCCTTTCCCATAGACACCGTGGGGTGGTGGCTGTTTTCCCAAGTGTCCCCTGGCAGGCAGATCTCTCATGCTGTGGTGACTCCTAGTTTCTTTTCTCCTGATTGACATTGGTCACTAGAGGATCCTGAAGAGTTTCCCTTTTCGGGACTCAGATTTCTATAACATGAACGTTGATGTAAGTAGGCAGAATATTGGTCAAGCTGCTGCATTAA